CTATAACCATCAACAAGCTTCTTACACCTCTCAACTGGAATTTTGGACCACTCTTCTTTTGCAAACTCCTCCAGGTGTCTCATATTTGAAGGGTGCCTTCTCCCAACAGCAATTTTAAGATCTCTCCACAGGTGTTCAATGGGATTTAGATCCAGACTCATTGCTGGCCACTTCAGAACTCTCCAGCACTTTGTTTCCATCCATTTCTGGGTGCTTTTTGAAGTATGTTTGGGGTCATTGTCCTGCTGGAAGACCCATGACCTAGGATGCAAACCCAGCTTTCTGACACTGGGCCCTACCCTGCGACCCAAAATCCTTTGGTAATCTTCAGATTTCATGATGCCTTGCACACAGTCAAGGCACCCAGTGCCAGAGGCAGCAAAACAACCCCAAAACATCTTTGAACCTCCACCATATTTGACTGTACTTACTGTGTTCTTTTCTTTGTAGGCCTCGTTCCGTTTTCGGTAAACAGTAGAATGATGTGCTTTACCAAAAAGCTCTATCTTGGTCTCATCTGTCCACAAGACGCTTTCCCAGAAGGATTTTGGCTTACTCACGTACATTTTGGCAAACTGCAGTCTAGCTTTTCTATGTCTCTGTGTCAGCAGTGGGGTCCTCCTGGGTCTCCTGCCATAGCGTTTCATTTCAGCTTGAATTTCTTTGGAACTTGATTGGGGCTGCTTTTCCACCATCCGGACTATCCTGCATTGCAACCTTTCATCAATTTTTCTCTTCCGTTCACGTCCAGGGAGATTAGCTACAGTGCTATGGGTTGTAAACTTCTTGATTATGTTGCGCAACGTGGACAAAGGAACATCAAGATCTCTGGAGACGGACTAACTTTGAGATTGTTGATATTTTTCTACAACTTTGGTTCTCAAGTCCTCAGACAGTTCTCCTCTCCTCTTTCTGTTCTCCGTGCTTAGTGTGGCTCACACAGGCACACAATGCAAAGACTGAGTCAACTTCTCTCCTTTTTATCTGGTTTCAGGTGTGATTTGTATATTGCCCACACCTGTTACTTGCCACAGGTGAGTTTGAACGAGCATCACATGCTTGAAACAAAGCTATTTACCCACAATTTTGAAAAGGTGCCAATAATTTTGTCCAGCCCATTTATGGAGTTTTGTCTGAAATTCTATCATTTTTGGCTTTTTTTATCTGTTTTTTTTGTGTTGTTCCAATATACACAAAGGAAATATACATGTATATAAAAAAACGTGTAATTGCAACAATTTTCTGGGAGAAATACTTTCAAAACTAAATTTCAGAGGTGCCAACACTTTCGGCCTTGACTGTAGCTGTGATTTCTAAAAGATTGATTTAAAGGTGAAAGTCTACACTTCAATCACATCATGACTGTTTAATTTAGATATTTTTAAAATAAAATAAATAAAAAAAAGAAATCAAGATTAAAAGAACAGGGATGTGACAGAAATCCATATCTGATAAACATCATATCTGAACACACAGTCAATAATACCCAGTCAATAATACCTAGAAACACAGTCACAGATGCCTCAGTGTGAAATACTGAAGTGTGAATAATCACTCCAGAGAACATTTACCACTGCTCCAGAGTCCAGTGGCACTGCTTTACACCACTCCAGCCGACTCTTGGCATTATGCATTTTGATCTTGGGTTTGTGTGCAGCTGCTCGGCCATTAAAACCCATTTCGTAAAGCTCCTAACCTGGAGTTCTTTTGCTGATGTCGCTTCCAGAGGCAGTTTGGAACTCTGTAGTGAATGATTTAACAGAGCATAGGCACTGTGCGCTTCAGCACTCGGCGGCCTCTCTCTGTGAGTTTAGGTGGTCTACTGTTTTGTGGCTGAGCTTTTGTTGCTCCTAGATGCTTGCATTTCACAGGAATAGCACTTACAGTTGTCTGGGGCAGATCTAGTAGAGCAGAAATTTTACCAACTGACTTATGGCAGAGGAGGCATCCTATGACAGTGCCATGTTTAAAGTCTCTGAAATCTTCGTTATGATCCATTCTACTGCCAGCGTTTGTGAAGATTGAATGGCTGTGTGCTTAATTTTATTCACCTGAAAATGGCTGAAACACTTTACCTCGATAATTAGGAGCCAGAACAGTTACCTACATCAGTCTCATCCAGGAGTTACCCGAATTAAAGGGTTAGCATTAAGTTGTATCTGGTGGTCTAACCTGGAAGCAGACCCTTGTGAAGTCTTGTTTAGTCTGTGAAGAGAACAGAAACCTTAACCCAATGACACCTTTACATCTGTGGCAGTGGTTGAATACATCATGGAGAAGGGTGCATTGGGATCATGCAGGACTTTGGAGGGGATAATGTTCCTTGTTCTGATAAGCACCCATTCTAAATGGATAGAGTCCTATCCACTAAAAGATCCATATCAGCAGTCACTATTGATTACTTAAGGCTGTGGTCACCAGCCCTCCTCCTGGTGGTCTACCTTCATGCAGGTTTCACCTTCAACCCAAATCTCACCTCCTTTAGCTAATCAGGGACAATTTGAAATTTGAATTTGAAAATGAATGAGAACAGCCAAAATCCTGTGACAAAAGCAAGTGTTGTAGGTATTGATACTCTGTGAAAATGCAGTTATGATTTGATATCTTGTTTATCTGAAATACATTTTGTATGTACGTGCAAAGCACAGAAGTCTGTACTGTTCATTCAGCTCCTGTGTATTTAGCTATATTAGTAACTTTTGTCAAAACAACAGACAACTGAAAAAATATGATAAATACAAATAAATGCATTTTAAAATGTATTTAACAGAAAAATGTAAAAAAAAAAAATGTAAAAATATTCTTGATAAATGCATTTGAAATATGTATTTTTTTCCATATGGGTGTATAGGTGTATGGGTGTAATATGTCCAGCAGGAGGCGTTGGTGTGTTGTCAACATAATTACCCTCTGACAGTGAGTGGAGAGAGAATGTGCTCACTGTGGCTGTCCTGCCATCTTTTCATGCAGATGCCGAATTCTGCAAAATAAAGAAAATTAATGTTAGATGATTAATCTCTGCCTCATATTTAGCTTCCCTGTACAAGATCACACTCTTCCTGCATCTCTCTCTCTCTCTCTCTCTCTCTCTGTTATACATAGATAATATCTCAGTATCTCTCTGAAACTTAAGCTTTTAAAAAGCATTTAATAAAATTACTGGACTTAATTTTCTGATAAGATTTTGTTTTTTTTCAATCATTGTACTTCAGAAAATTTTTTTGTTAGCATTTGGATAAAAGATTAAAAGAATAAACAACAAAATGTTTTTACAGCAGGTTTCAGGTTTACGATGTTTGTTTAAGTTACACATAAGTAAAAAATTTAATACCAAAAACAAACAAATGCATTTTTATATCTGATAAATACATTTGGAATATATTTTTTACTATATGGGGAAGAACAATATACATCTTCTAAACCACTTATCCTTCTGGGTCACGGGGGAGCCGGAACCTATCCCAGCTGTCATTGGACGGCAGGACACACCATGGACAGGTCACCCCGTCCATCACAGTATACAGTGTACAGTAAAATATCAGTGATTATTAACAGAAACAACTGTCCTTAGAAAAGGCTGGGGACATCATACCACACTGTACTGACTGCTGTCCCTCCTGTGTTCATTTTCACCAGAAACCCTAAAAGTCTAATGCACTTCTTCATATTTGCCAGTGTGAACCAATTTACACATCAGCCTACAAATCAGATAACTGATAATATATTACAGTATTCAGTAGATCAGTCTGCTCACCTTCATCTTTAGACTAGGAATCACTCTTTTCTGCAGGAGTCTGTGAGCCAGTGTTTCTTCTGAACAGTTCAACTGAAGAGAGGGCTCACATAAATACATGGCTGTGAGTGTGATCTACCTTCAAATTCAAGAAACCTCTCAGTCATTGTAGTTAAAAGAATTTCTGGAGGAAAGGGCAACATTTCTCCCAGTAGAGGCCAGAAACTGGTAGTCAGTTATAGGAAATGTCTATATAAAGTTATTTCTGTCAAAAGGGGCAAAACCAGTTACTGAAGCCAGGGGTGTACTTACTTTTTAACAGAAAAATAACACATCTCAGTTTATTTATTTTTAAATAAATGATTGCAAAGTCAAATTTTCTTTGTTTTTGTTCTGTTACTTAACATTTAACTATACCTATTGTTTAGCTGATGATAATATACTGATATGCTCCCCTTAGGCCACCCTTTAGAACCGTGCATGTGCTCCTGGTTTAAGGTGTGTGCATGTTTTGGTTGTGTTTATTCATTACCTTCTGTAATCAAAGTAGTCTCACCGTCTTTGAGCAGTGTTTGCCTTTAGATGACCTGTCCCTCATTTCTCCTGGTAATTTAGTTCCTCTCTCTGCCTGTTTTTCATTAAAGAGTATTTTCCAAGACCCAAAAATGGCAGACTCCAGGACTTCTTCAAGCCTGTTTGGGTGTTTCAGACAATTGTGTAGCGAGGACATCGTAAACAAAGCAGGGCAGGCATGAGAAACAGTGTGGGGTCTAATTATACATCTTTGTCCTGATCTTACTTCCTTTCCTATCCAGTCACAATTTTAGCAACACTACTGGATTAATCATACTTTTAGAGACATCAGTCAACAGCTCTGGGAGGCACAGGTAGATATTGTTTATGTGCTGGTGTGAAACCTCCTCTCACATTTACGTCCTGATTTAGTTTGCATCTTTCCAGTATCATGCATTACAGCAGTCACTGACTTTAAATTACAGCTGTCGGAACGCTTTGTTACATTTATTTACAAATTTATCTATTTATGTTCACAAAATTCGATAGCAAAACTTCTCTCCCCTTAAAGGCACAAACACCAGCCCCACAGCGAGGTGTACACCAGTGACGAGGCAGAAATTTTGGGGTGGAATCTGGGGTGGCCAATCAGATTTCAGGGAAGACACTGGCCACCCCAAGGCATGCTCAACAGTGACTTTGTTGTACTTTACAGTGTGTATTGTAGAGATCAGGTAATGGTGTATGTAAGTGCCAAAATGAGGAACGATGGAAATTAAGATATTTTAATTCAAAGCTTTTAATTTCAAATCAGTTAACACTGACATTCTTTTCAGTTAAGCCTTTTGTCTGATTAGGAATGAAAATACTGAAGTGTTTAATTCATATTTAGTAATCATTTATTAAGATATTTTTGGTAAAATATGGAAGATTTAATTGTTTAACATGGATATAAAGTAAAGAAAACAAACAGTGTAAGTAAGATTGAATAGAAGTTTTTAAAGGTTTAAAAAAGAAAGTTGACATAAGCAGTGCACAACAAATTTACATTTCAGAATTTAAGTATTTCCACTTGTGTAGCCTCTTGGCCTCTTCTGGTTACTGACAGGGTCTGCTGTACCCTTGACGTTCTGCATCTCCATGCCAGAGGTTGAGGGGGAGGGGCTCGGCTTCTCTGGAAGAAAACTGGTCTCCTCTGAAGTATCAGATTCCTCATTATTTCCGGTGCTTCCTTCAGGCTCATCTGTGCTTTGCGGTTGTGCCTTATTTTAAAAATATTAGAACATTACATGTGTGCCTGACAGCTGTGTATTGGACACACACGCATACAGTCAAATCCAGAGTTATCAGCACCCCTAAAGACAATGTCTGTGTACATTGTTTATCATTTATTAAATAGAAATCATTCCTACAAGAGTGTTAATTATTTTAAGAACTGTATATAACTGTATACTTTAAATAAAACCAAACAAATTTGCATCTTTAGGGGAAAAAAAACATTTCTTCATATTGCTCCTATTCTAAAACAACTCTGATGATCATCTCCGGTTTCCCTGGGGTTTAAAAATGGGGATACAGTCATGTAAAATCCCTTTATCATCCATTAACATGAGTAAAACCACAGAGCTGCCAGCTCCAAAGAGACAGACAGATGTGAACCTGCACAGATTAGGAAATGGTTGTAAAAACATCAGTAGTCAGTTGAAATTACTGTTAAGCACAATCAGGGTGATAAAGATTTGTGAACGGTATGGAATAGCTGAAAATTGGCCAGGTAGAGGACATATGAGCACACAGCCCCTAGATACAGTGAGGAGGCACAAAGGGACCCAAAGATCACAGTTTCAGAACTGCAGTTTAGTTCAATCTTGGTGTTTTCACATTTCAAAATCTTCTCTGATACCACCTCTGTGACCAGAAGAGTTTCAGAAAAGTAGCCTTTCCTAAGTGCAAGCCACAAAATGCAGCACCTAAGCAAATGGAATTGTGCGATGTGGTCAAATAGACAAAAATGTAACCTTTTATGCATGCAGGCCATCAAGTTTGACAAAAAGGGACTGGACTACATAGAATGGAAAGCATCTGAAAGTCTCTTTTGAATGAATTCCACTAAATAGCAGCGCCCTCATTTTTAAAAGATTTGTACACACAGATTTGGACTTAAAATGGTCCTTTGTGAAAGTTAAAGCAGTGAATCATGAAACAGAATTTCAATATTACACAGTGTGTAATCTGAGGAACATTGTCAACCTGACAGACAAAACTTTGGTAGACAGTCCCTGTCACAGGATTGGTTGGACATGGGGGCCAAAGGAGTTACTCGATTACCACTTGATTTACTCATAAGAAATCAGGCAACCACTCAAATGTGCAGCTGAAAATATTAGTAAGTCACTACTGGTTGTCAGTTAACCCATCTTATAATCAGATACTTCATATCACGTGACTCTGCTTAAGGGAGACAGTATGGAGTGGTGAGCAGTGAACTCTTATGAAAGATAAAAATTCTCACAATAAACATCAACAGTTTTAACTTAGTGATGTAAGTGAAACTAGTTTCACTTTTTATGTGGTAAAATGCAATTTTCATCCAGTGGTCCATATTCTTACTGGAAGTCAATTATTTTTTTTGTTCCAATATACAGTATAAAGCAAAAATATGCAGCTTATTCTTTGGGGAAGCACACATCATTTCCTGCAGTGGTTTATTTAATATTTTGATATTGGTTCATTTTCATGAAGTGTGCAATAATTCAACCATTGAATTAGAATTATGATATTATGACTGAATGTTTAGAGGATACTTTTCATTCAACCATAGCAAATTGAAACAATCAGGCATAAATTCAAAATGCACAGTTAACGCACAGTAACAAACCTGCTGCCCCACAAAGCTAATCCAGATCTTAAGTAGAGTGTAACTACTGCAGAGAGGCTGGAATCATTTACCTTACTTCAACAAACTGAGCTGGTTAAAATTATTTCCTCTTTAAAAGCTTTACTAAGATCTGAACTGCATAAGATCTTACCTGACTGATCACTCTCATTTTGTAAATGGCAAATCCTCTGCTCTTATGAAAGTAAAGTATGGTGTTCCACAAGGCTCTGTTTTAGGACCTCTATTTTTCACATTACATATGCTACCACTGGGTATCGTTATCAATAAATTTGGCATCAGTTTCAACTGCTATGCCGATGACACACAATTGTGCATACTAACCAAACCAGATGATAAATTTGAACCTAGTAAGACTGAGGACTGTGTAAAAGACATTAAAGACTGGATGTCAAGTAGCGTCTTCATACTTAACTCAGACAAAACAGAGGCTCTTATTCTTGGTCCAAAAGCTGCTAGTTGTATCAGGTGCATCTGTAAAAAACCTTGGCATAACAATTGATTCCGATCTGTCCTTTAAAGCACATATAACCAATATAGAATAGCTTTCCTTCATCTTTGCACTATTGCTAAGTTAATAAATACACTGTCTCTACAGATGCAGAAAAGAGAGTTAGTTTAGTAAGTTACCTCAAGGCTGGATTACTGTAACGTCTTGCTGGCTGGATGTTTCAGCAAAAGCCTTAACAAGCTTCAGCTAGTTCAGAACGCTGCAGCCAGAGTCTCACAAGAACCAGAAAGTTTGCCCATACCAGTCCAGTCTTATCAACCTTATGTTTGTTGCCAGTGAAATTTCACATTGATTCCAAAATTCTTTTACTGAAATATTAAGCTCTAAATGGCCCCACAGTATCTGAGTGAACTTCTGTCTTGCTATGAACCATCACGCCTAGTTAGATCACAAGGTGCTGGCTTACTATTAGCACCTAGAATTAATAAAGTTACATCGGGGGGAGAGCCTTCTCATACAAAGCCCCCCAGCTTTGGAATAATCTTCCAGTCAGTGTTCGGGACTCAGACTGTCACGTATTCGGCCAGCCAGCCTCCAAACTACGATTCCCAGAATCCTCCGCTTCATCACATGACACCAGGGAGAGCCGCAGCAACCAATCGCCGCTCTAGCTCTCCGGAATACTGATCACTCTCACCTGTGTGTTTATGTCATGTGATCTGTTTAGTTTAGTATATTAGCCCGGGCTTAGCATAGGACCTTTGTGAGGTATTGTTTTCTTGAAAACTACTGAGCGTTCATTCTGGTTTTTTGATCTCCCCTGTTATGACCTTGTGTTTCTGGATTTGTTTCTTGGATTTTCGGATTTGCCCTTTTGTACTGTTGCCTGGTTGGATTGATATCTGGTTTTGGACTTTTGCCTGTACTCTGGACTTTGATCTGCTCGTCTGCTCTCTGGTCGCACGTTACAGAATACCTCACCACTTATGCAGATGGCGGATTTAGAAGCTTTTCAGAAGGCACTAATGGAACAAGGACAGCTACTCGGCAGACATCAGCAAGTTCTTTCTGGGGTAACTAACTCACTTGAATCGCTAGCTCAACAGCAAGCTGAACAACACTCTCAGCTAGCCCAGCTCGTAGCAAGCGTTAAAGGTTTAAGCAGTCAGTTACAGACTCTGAACGTCACTGAAACTGAGGTTAGCCCAGCTGCTCAGGATCTGAACTCTCTTGCTGTTTTTCCGGTTAGTAAGCCTGATAAGTTTGACGGTAACCCAGATAAATGCCGAGGGTTTTTACTCCAATGTTCCGTTTATTTTGATAATTCTCCCGCTAGTAATGACCAGGCGAAGATTTCCTTTATAGTTTCCAGGCTAGCGGATAAAGCTTTAGAGTGGGCTACCGCAAGCTGGAATAGAATACGCCGCCTTTCGTATGTGCAATTTTTACGTGCATTCAAAACTGTATTTGACCATCCTTATGAAGGGAGAATTAGTGGGGAATTATTGGCTCAGCTCAAGCAAGGGGCTCGTTCCGTAGTGGATTACGCTCTGGAGTTTCGGACTTTAGCAGCCAGTAGTGGTTGGAACGAGGCTGCATTGGTGGTTGTGTTTAGACAAGGACTCAGACTCGACATCTTGAACGAACTAGCATGTAAGGATGACGACCTGTCCTTAGATGAACTAGTGAATCTGGCTATTAAAATCGATCATCTGTTACAACATCGGGTCAAGAAGAAGTATCACAAGAATGTCAGACGCAGTTTCACCAGATCACCAAGTACTACGGAGTCACTGGAAGCCCCTGAACCCATGCAATGTGAATCAACGCGACTAACTCCGGAAGAAAGGAGACGCAGGATGAGAGATCACCTTTGTCTATATTGTGGGAAGTCTGGTCATCAGATCAAGGATTGTGCTGTGAGACCACAAACTAGCAAGGCGCCAACCCTTGGAAAGCACGTGGAGTCTACTCCGCGTGCTAATGTGGTGAGTGTTCCCACAAAAGGGTTGGTCTCTAAATCATTTATGCTACCTATCAGTATATACTGTCATCCCGATTCTGTTATTGTTTCAGCCCTTTTAGATTCCGGAGCGGAAGGAAACTTTATTCAAGCCAAGATCGTGAAGGTACTCAACATTCCTGTGGAGGAACTGCCTAATGCCTTGAAGGTGGTAGCACTGAATGGAGGACCGGTAGGAGCCGGAACAATTTCCCAGATCACCAAGCCCCTAGCCGTCCAGACCAGTGCCCTTCATCAAGAGACATTGTCTTTTTTAGTCCTAGAGCAAACTGAATTCGAGATCATTTTAGGACTCCCGTGGCTAGAGAAACACAACCTCTTGAACTCATGGTCCGATCACACAATTACTACATAGAATACCCCCACATAGAACCCATGACTGCGCCATAGATTTAATTGAAGACCATACATTCCCTAAGGCCAGAGTTTATCCTTTAACCCAGGAAGAACAGAAGGCGTTAGATGTATACATTCAAGAAGCGCTCGAACAAGGCTTTATTAGACCATCTACCTCCCCAATCTCTTCTAGTTTCTTCTTCATTAAGAAGAAAGATGGAGGACTTCGGCCTTGTATCGATTATCGAGCACTCAATAACATTACGAAGCCATATCCCTATCCGCTTCCTCTGGTGCCCGTAGCCTTGGAACAGTTAAAGGGGGCTAAAATATTCACCAAATTAGACCTCAGAAGTGCCTACAATTTAATATGTATCCAAGAGGGAGACGAGTGGAAGACAGCCTTTATGACCACTAGGGGGCACTATGAGTACCTCGTGATGCCCTTTGGGCTCTCTATAGCGCCCTCTGTGTTCCAGGCATTTATTAATGAGGTACTACGGGACATGCTAGGTCAATTTGTAATTGCTTATCTGAATGATATTTTGATTTATTCCCCAGACAAAGAGACCCATGTGCTGCAGGTTCGAGCAGTGTTGGAGAGACTTCTCGAGAATAATCTGTATGTAAAAGGAGAGAAATGTGAATTCGATCTTGAGTCTGTCAACTTTTTGGGTTATGTAGTCAGTAGTCAAGGGGTTTTCATGGATGATCACAAGGTCGACGCAGTGGTTAATTGGCCTGCACCCACTTTAGTCAAAGAGCTACAACGATTCCTAGGTTTTGCTAATTTCTATCAAAGGTTTATCCGAAATTTCAGTACTAAAGCCGCACCACTCACATCTCTACTCAAGGGCGCCCCTAAGAGGATCAGATGGAATGAGCAAGCAGAGAAAGCATTTCAAGACCTTAAGGAAGCCTTCACTACAGCTCCCATTCTCACACACCCCGATCCTTCCAAGCCATTCGTGGTAGAAGCAGATGCCTCAGAGACTGGGGTGGGGGCAGTTTTGTCACAAAGAGTTGGATCACCACTAAAGTTGCACCCAGTCGCCTTTTTTCACACAAATTGTCAGCAGCAGAAAGAAATTATGGAATTGGGGATAGAGAGCTACTAGTGGTAAAGTTAGCTCTAGAGGAATGGAGACATTGGCTCGAGGGAGCTAACCATCCATTTACGGTGCTTACTGACCATAAGAATTTAGAATATCTCAGGAACGCTCGAAGACTGAATTCCAGACAAGCTAGGGGGTCATTGTTTTTTGCCTGTTTTAACTTTACCATCACTTACAGGCCTGGGTCTCGTAACACAAAAGCCGATGCGCTTTCGCGTGTACACCAAGAGTCAAGTCAAGAGTTAGACCCTGATAGCCACAAGACCGTTTTACCCCCAGACCTTATTACATCAGCTATACGTTGGGAAATAGATGAAGCCATTGACGCTGCGCTAACTAATGCTTCGGTGCCTAGTCAGTGCCCCCCAGGGAAGAAATATGTCCCTCTAGAATGTAGAGATCGCTTAATTACATGGGCACACTCCTCCATTGTGACGGGTCATCCGGGAGAAACACGTACCCATCAGTTAATATCAAATAGATACTGGTGGGAATCAATGAGTAAGGACGTTCATACATTCGTGCAATCATGTTCAGTCTGTTCACAATGTAAAACCCCTAAGACTTTACCCGCAGGCAAGTTGATGCCCCTTCCAGTTCCTGACAGACCCTGGTCACATTTAGCTATAGATTTTATAACTGAACTTCCCGAATCCCAAGGTTTCATCACAATTCTGACTGTGGTGGATAGATTCTCCAGGGGGGTACGTTTTGTTCCGTTTCCTCACTTGCCCACGGCTTTCCAAACGGCAGAAGCCATGTTTAACCATGTGTTTAGATTTTTCGGGATCCCGGAGGACATTGTCTCTGACCGAGGGCCACAATTTACCTCACAGGTATGGTCAGCCTTTTTTGAGCAGATTGGAGTCTCTGTGAGCTTAACTTCTGGATATCATCCTCAAGCAAATGGACAGTGTGAAAGGATGAATCAGGAACTTGGAAAGTTTTTAAGGATTTTTTGTCACAACAACCCCACTGACTGGTATCGATTTTTAACCTGGGCTGAAATAGCACAAAACTCTTTGATCAGTTCCTCGACAGGTTTGACCCCTTTTCAGTGTGTATTGGGGTATCAGCCCCCTTTGGCCCCATGGACTGGGATGGAAACAGAGGTCCCTGCGGTCGACGACTGGATGAAACGGAGTGAGCAGTTCTGGGAGGAGACGCACCGCCGGATTGAGGAAGTTCTCCAAAGACATAAAGAACAGGCGGACCGGCACAGAGGACCCACTCTGGAATATCAGCCTGGGGACCGAGTCTGGCTGGCTACACGAGATTTTCGCCATAGAGAGGGAAGTAGGAAGTTACTCCCTAAATACATTGGACCATTTAAAATAGTTAAGAAAATAAATGATGTGACGTACAGATTAGAATTACCCCCTAGATTTCGAGTATCACCTTCTTTTCATGTGTCTTTATTGAAACCGTTTGTTGCAGGGCCGTTGGACAAGGTGTCGCCGGATGCTACACCTTCCCCGCCAGAAATGATAGAAGGGGCACCGGTCTACGCTGTCCGTAGGCTGCTGGACTCCAGAAGAAGAGGCAGTCTCTTGCAATATCTTGTGGATTGGGAGGGCTACGGACCTGAGGAGCAGTGTTGGGTGCCGGCCAAGGACATTCTGGACCCTGGGCTCGTGGCGGATTTCCCCAGCCAGCACCCTGAGAAACCTGCTCCGCGTCCCAGGGGTCGCCCACGTAGAGGGCCACCCGCATCCCTTCCAGCTCGTCTGCAGAGACCACGTGAGAGTTCACAGGCGGTCCAGCGCCTCGGCAGCTCTGGGTCGGCCCCTGTTCCCAGGACTGGTGGGGGACGGGGTGGTCGTCCTGGTCGCCCTCGTTCCAAGGCCAGCCAGGACTCTTTGGAGGGGGGTACTGTCACGTATTCGGCCAGCCAGCCTCCAAACTACGATTCCCAGAATCCTCCGCTTCATCACATGACACCAGGAAGAGCAGCAGCAACCAATCGCTGCTCTAGCTCTCCGGAATACTGATCACTCTCACCTGTGTGTTTATGTCATGTGATCTGTTTAGTTTAGTATATTAGCCCGGGCTTAGCATAGGACCTTTGCGAGGTATTGTTTTCTTGAAAACTACTAAGCGTTCATTCTGGTTTTTTGATCTCCCCTGTTATGACCTTGTGTTTCTGGATTTGTTTCTTGGATTTTCGGATTTGCCCTTTTGTACTGTTGCACGGTTGGATTGATATCTGGTTTTGGACTTTTGCCTGTACTCTGGACTTTGATCTGCCTAGCCCTCTTGTGTTGTGCCTTCAGTGTATTTTGCTGTGCCTGTGTACCAACGACAATAACTCTAGTAAAGCTTCATCACTTTTTTACGTCCGCGAGCGTCTGCTCTCTGGTCGCACGTTACACAGACACAGCTGAGTCTAGGCTAAAAACCCACTTGTTTAGTCAAGACTTTGGTAATTAGTTTTCCCCGTCATATTAAAGGTGCAGATGTGGGGGTTCATGGTCACAGAGTATTATGGTAAACTGAGCGTGTTAGTGCCGTCGTCCTGCTGCTCTCACGCACTCACTCACTCAGGTTTGTTGACGGTGGAGTGGAGGGACTCTGACATCTCAGGGAGCCTCATGACTCTGTTACCTCTCTGGTTTCTCCCTTTTAGTTAGGCTGTAATAACTAGACCTGCCAGAGTCTCTGCTGCTCTGTTAATACTGTAAACTGTGATCAGTCACTCTTTACAGAACTGACTCTCTGTGTGTCTCTTTGCCGAACTGAACACCTGCCAATCCTGTGTGTCTGATGCTGTTGCTTCATCTGCTGCTCTTTCTGGACCAGTTTGACCGTGAAGCTTGTTGCTGTACAACACTGTGCAAACCTGTATGCCACTGATCCTCCTGATGATGCTGCTGCTGCTGACTCAAACTATTTAATCACAGACATTGCTTCACCTGCCTCACAAAACTCTGAGCTCTTCTCATTTTCATTCAACAGATCTTCATTACAGGCCTCTAACAGTAGACACTGACGGTCATGGCTCTCTGTGATTTGCTTTTAACAGTGGTTACTGGTTTTCACTGGTAACAGTGACTTTCACAGATCTGTTTCTTATAGTTACTTTGATAGGCCTCTAACAGTCATCATTATCATTGCTTAGTCTAAATATTTCTGTACAATGACAGGCTGGTTTCTTTTCTCCTTTTCTCTAAATTCAATATTGTAATTAAATTGATATTCAGTACATTTTGCTCTTGAATGAACAAACTGATGAACCAGGTAACATCATAATACTTACCGAAACTACTGGAACTGGATCATTCAGAACAGCTCTGTCTGAAGAACGACTGATGCTCTTGTTCATACGATGAATTAAATTTCCATCCAGAGAAGGTGGAGCAGTCAGAAACTTTCTGTTTAACACAGTTGCTTATTAGAAAAACTTTGTGTAGATTTAAAGGAAATTCAGATATTTGAATTCAAATCACTGAACACACTGACTTTTTTCAGATTTTTTAAAACGGGAGCCTTTTGTCTGATTAGGAATGAAATGAAAATACCAAAATGTTCAGTTCATATTTGGCAATCATTTACTGTGATATTTTTGGTAAAATATTAAAAATGAAGTTGTTTAACATGGATGTAATGCAAAGAAAACATTGTTTTAGCGTTGGAAGAACAAGTGTAAGATTGGTTAGAAGTTGGTAAAGCATTCAGAATAGAATGTTTAAACATGATGAGCAGCGGACAACAAATATCAGAATTAGGCATTTCTACTTACATAACCTCTTTGTGCCTTCTGGTTATTTTCAGCTTTACTGGCAGTTTTCTTTGTAGCTGGTCAGCATCTTCAGAGGACAGTCTGTGGGCGACACTCAGCTCCTCCTGATCCTCTGTCAGAAGAACTAATTCGTCGTCTTCTGTAGAAAATCCCACAACCTTTATGAGGCTTTCTTCTTCCGGCTCATCTGTTAGTATCTTATTTTAAAAAGATAAGAATATTTTATATATATATATATATATATATATATATATATGTATGCATGACAGCTGTGTACTGGACACACACACAGAATTATAGGCTCCCCTAAACAAACTGGGAAAACAATCATACAAAGTAAACAACATATAATGATTCAGTTGTTCCTCTAAAATGTGTGTAAATTGTTCATCGTTTATCAAAAGACATCATTCCTACAAGAGTGTTATTTTTTTAAAAACAGTGTTTTCTTTGAGACACTGAGGGGGCCAAATTATTGACACCCCTAAAGAACATTATTATAAAACCAAAGAAATGTACATTTCTTTATATTACTCCTATTCTCCAGGAACTCTGTTTTCTATGACCATTTCCTGTTTCCCTGGGGTTTAAAAATAAGGTTACAGACATTTGAAATCCTTTTACCATCCATCAACATGAGGAACACCAAAGATCTGTCAGCTCCAGTGAGACAGATGGATGTGGACCTTCACAGGTTAGGAGTGGTTATAAAACCATTAGTATTCAGTTGAAATTGCCGTTAAGCACAGTCAGGATGATAATTAAGAAAAAAAAGGTTTTTAAACAGCTGAAAATTAGCCAGGTAGAGGACACATGAGCACACTGCCCCTAGATACAGAGAGGAGACAAAGAGGAACCCAACTGCGCAGTTTAGGTGAATTTTAGGGTTTTCTCATTTTAAAATCCTCTCTCTGATACCACCTCCATGACCAGATGTTTCCCACAAAAGAAGTCTTTACATTTACATTTTACATTTACATCATTTAGCAGTCTTTCCTAAGTGCAAACCATAAAATGCAGCACCAGAACTAACTCATGGAATTGTGTGATATGGTCAATTTTTTTTGTCATGCACACCATCAATTTTGACGAAAAAGGGACACATACAGTGGAAAGCACCCGATACCTACTGTTAAATATAATGGTGGAATCCACTAAATAACAGTGGCCTCATTTCTAAAAGATTTGTATACACAGATTTGATCTCAAAATGGTTGCATGTAAAAATTCACATTAATGGTAAATTGATGATTCATAAAACAGAATTTCTGGGTACAACCCAATTTCTAGAAAAAATGGCACGCTGTACAGAATGTAAGTAAAAATAGAATGCAGTGATGTGCAAATAATGTGAACCATATTTTAAAGGAAAACACTCACTACAAAGACAACAAATCAAATGTTGAAACTGAGAAATTTTATTGTTTTTTTGAAAAATATATGCCCATTTTGAATTTGATGCCAACAACACATTCCCAAAAAGTTGGGACGGGGGCCTGTTTACCACTGTGTTTCATCACCTCTTCTTTTAACAGCACTCTGTAAGTGTTTGGGAACTGAGGAGACACTGCTGTAGTTTAGAAAGTGAAACAGTTTCTCATTTTTGTTTGATACAGGATTTCAGCTGCTCATCAGTTCAGGGTCTCCTTTGTCATATTTTTCATTCAGTAATGCACCAAATGTTATCAGTGGTGACAGATCTGGACTGCAGGCAGGTCAGTTTAGCACCTGGACTCTTTTAATACAGAGCAAATATGGAGTTGTAATACATGCAGAATGTAGTTTGACATTGTCTTGCTGAAATAATCAAGGCCTTCCCTGAAAAAGACATCATCTGGATGGCAGTATATGTTGCCAAAACATGTATATATCATTCAGCATAAATGGTGCCTTTTACAGATGTGCACGTCACCCATGCCATGTGCACTACTGCCCCCCTGTACCATTATGAATACTGGCTTTTGAACTGTGCACTGATAACAAGCTGAGTGGTCTTTAGCCCGGAGGACACAGTGTCCATGATTTCCAAAAAGAATTTCAAATGTTTATTTGTCAGACCACAGGACACTTTTCCACTTCACCTCAGTCCATTTTAAATGAGCTGAGGCCCAGAGAAGGCGGCAGCATTTCTGTTTATATCTGGGTTCTTCTTTGTGTTTTAGAGTTTTAACTTGCATTTGTTGATGCTGCGATGAACTGTTTTCAAAGACACTGTTTTTCAGAAGTGTTTCTGAGCCCATGCAGTGATTTCCACTACAGAATCATGTCTGTTTTTAATGCAGTGCTGCCCTGAGGGCCCAAAGATCACGGCCAGCAAATGGCCAGAGATTTCTCCAGATTCTCTGAATCTTTTAATGTTATTATGTACCATAGATGACGAACAGTTCTTCGCTGTTTTACTTTGAGAAATGTTATTCTTGAATTGTTGCACTATTTGATGTTACAGTCTTTCACAGAGTGGTGAACCCCTCCTCATCTTTACTTCTGAAAGACTCCGCCTCTCTGAGATGCTCTTTTATACTCAATCATATTACTGACCTGAGGCCAATTAACCACAAGGTGTTTTTTTAGCATTACACAACTTTACAGGCCTTTTGTTGCTCCGTCCCAACTTTTTTGGAACGTGTTATTGGCATCAAATTCAAAATGGGCATATATTTTTCAAAAAACAATAAAATTTGATATGTTGCCTTTGTACTATTTTTAATGAAATATAAAGTTATAATTATTTGCACATCATTGCATTTTGTTTTTATTTACACTTTGCACAGCATCCCAACTTTTTTGTGTGTAGATTGACACACATTTCCAACCTGACATACTAACTTTTGGTGGTCAGTCCCTGTCACAGGATCAGTTGGACATGGGAGCAAAAATAATTACTGAGGGAGCACAGCTACCTTGACCCGTCCACATGATTGACCTCATAAGAAATCTGGCCTGCAACATTAAAACTACACACATTTTCAGCTGAAAATAATAGCAAGCACAGCTTAAAGCAAGGAAAAGTTCTGTGCTTGAAATGTGTTCAAGGGTTTAGAGAAGGAATAAAGGAAAGTGAGGTTCATGAAATTAAGGAATTAATTGGTTGAATATGAACGTTTACTAACAAAACTGCTCAAAGCCCAAAACAAACATACTATACGTACACAAACAAAACATAAATGGAAGAGATTAAATATACTTTGGTGATCTAAGACGCTAAAAACAGAGCACCTAGCTCTCCCCAGGTCAATATTGTTTTGTCATATCATTCCTCCAGAATGTTTTGTGAATTAACTCGTGTGGAGTTGCCTTCAGTGATTCAGCAAAAACAATATTTATAACAGAAAATGAGTTAAAAACATAGATGTTCATCTAAAGCCGATAACAATATATAGTATTGTTTGTCACATTTCTTTATTTGCTGATGACTTACTTATATATTTGTCCAATATAGAATGTTCTATTAATCATCTTTGCAATTATTTGACATATTCAAATCATTCTCAGGGTATGAGATTAACTGGACTAAATCAAATCCTTTGCCTTTAATTATTATTTAAATCGTTAATCATTAACGGCCAAATCATTACAGTTACCCCTATCAATTTATATCAGTAACTCATTTATTTATTTAGGAATAAAAATCCATCATCATCAATGATAATAAAAGAAAATTGTAATACCCTAATACAGAAGATCTGAGCTGATCTAGATCAATGTAAATAAATATCCTTCCTGAAATTAATTTCCTTTTTTATGCTTCCTCTTTCTCTACAATGATGAAGTAAACTGCTTGATATCTAAATTAATTTGGGGTGGGAAACCAGAATAAGGCAGGTTACTCTACAGTGACAGAAGGAAGTAAGTGGTCTTTCCTGGCCAAATCTAAATCTTTATTATTTGTCCTTTCAGCTAAGGGCTGCGGCCACTTGGTTATACTCAAAAGGTCCTTGGCGACTCATTGAGGAGGTCTTGATCAAACCTCACATGCCTCATGACTGGCCTTACACCGGCCTTGGACAGAAGAAAACAAGTTTAATATTTGGGGAAAAGTATTACAACTTTAAATGTCTGGATGGTGGCTGAAAAAAATGGTGCACTGTGTAAGTTTAATTCCTTCACATCACCATAGCACAACTTTAACTTTTTATCTGGTGGACACCCTTTAGTATATCCCGCTTGGAGGAAAGAGGGTATTTTTACCTATTCTGCTTAATGGACCTATTCAGATAGAAAAGAAAAATACTTTCTATATGTCAGACTCAGATCTGCCACGAAGGCGTACAAAGTACCCTGGGAGAGTCCGGTTCCTTCCCACCTGATGTCTGAATGGTTTAACCACCCAGTTTGTAAACAGAGATTACAAATGATATTTAAGTTGGAATGGAAACTGAACCAGCTGGGATTCCATCCTATGTGGGACCAAACATGGTCTAACCTGACTGTTGACTAACCTGAATCTTGCTCATCAATTCAATGATTTTAAATGTACACACAGGGCCGACTCCACACCATACTCAACACATTAAATGGACAGGGGTCTCATGCCGTATCGTACGGTTTGCAGCATTAATTCTGTCGGCACTTTTCTGCATATGTTTTGGGATTGCAGCAAAATTAGCAAATTCTGGGTCCTTACCATCTGATAAACATAAAATTCCTATTAATCAAAATCCATATCTCTGTTTATTAAATGATGATAGTTTTTCACTTTCACATTAACTCAAAAAGGATTAATCTTTGCTAATTTTCCGCTGCTAAACAGACTTACACATAAATGATTTAACCCAAATATGTGTCTATCAATGGTTATGGTTCTACTATATTGTTTCCCTGGAGCAGACTACTGCAATGACAAACAAAGCTAAATCAGCTAAAATATAGGCTAATATTTTATATTAAAAATATTAAAACTCATGCCATACTTATTTTATTTTAAGTCACACATATCTGTTAAAAAAACGAATAAAATATTGATCACAAAAAACAGAGCTGTTCCCCCATCCCCTCCGCACATTTCCTGTCTCACATTAGTTTCTTCTACACGTCTCCTCTCAGTTCTCCTTCTAAAACAGAAACATTTGATCTGTAGTTTTTATATACTTTAAAACATAAAAGTCATTCATTGAAACTTTTTCACCTAAAACCAAAAAAGAAAGAATATTTTACATATAAAACATTATGCTAAAGTACAGAATTCTATCTTTGTTGTTTTGTGTACTGATAAACACTGTTAAAGGTCTGCAGGGCCCTGCAATTTTCTACATTTAGTTATATTTTTTATGTGCAACATCAGACTATAAAATAAAGAAAAACCTTTTAAAAGCCCTCTATTACTGAGGATAGTGATGTTTTAAGTGGTTCAGGTGTGCAGTTCGAGCCAACAAGAGGAGGATCTGCTGAACAGGAAACTTGAAGTCTGGATTTGGAAGGTCTTGATGGAGAGACAGAAAAGTTCATAATACTCACAGAAACAACTGTGTAATCAGACGACATCAGTTTTTTTTCATGTGCTTGGATTTTCTCCACTTTGATGTAAGTGATCTTAATCATCTGGCCTGGCTGGAGTGGCTTAGTTGCTGCCTCCTTCTGGAGTGACACTGTCACCTTAACACGAGCCTCCCCGATCACAACATCTCTCACAGGGATGTCTCCCTCAGTCTGCCGGGGAGCTCCCAGCTAAAGAGGATAAACAGAGTGAGTACAATAATATCTATCAATAGAGAGCCAGAGAAAGAGTGACACTCCTCAAAGATTAAATAAGACTAATAATTATTACTGAACACTGAATTCTGCACATCCCTAACATCACCACATTAGCTTAATCCTCACATTCATTGAGAAGCATCTGCATTAGAGAAAGTTAGTAAACTGTTTAATAAGCAATAGAAAAACTGTCACTTAATGTTTTCAGTAAACTAATATGTTTATTTTTCCTAAGTGGGTGTTTAATGCTGAAATGCTGTGCTCATATTTGTTTTGTTGTCCCTAGAACATAATATTGATCTAAAAGGGTTCATCTGAATGTGCTGTGAAACTCAGATGAAAAATATTTTATACTTAATTAAGCCTTTAAGTTGCCAAAATGTCAGAAAAATTAAGACCTTTTAAAGACTCTGGAACGTCTCTAAGTGTTTGAGCAAGAATCCAGATTTAGGCCTCTCTGTATCTGGATCACTCTGACTTCTCATTTTTCCCTCTTTGTTTGTCACCGTAGCCAAGAGTGACCTGATGTTGAGGAACATGAACAAACTGATGAACCAGGAAACATCAAAATACTTACTGAAACTACTTTTCCTGTCAGGGTTATGTAGCCCTTTTTCAGGTACAGTCCTGGATCATTCAGACCTGCTCTCCTCGAAGAAGGATTGATGCTCTCTTTTGCACGATGAATTAATTTTTCATCCAGCTGTAGTGGGGCCGTCCGGAACACTCCTGCTTCATTTCCCAGGATCATTTCAGAGACTGGATGGTCCTCCTTCACTGTGGCATTGTTTATAATGTAAGTCTCTCCCTCCTGTAGTTTAGAGATCTGATCCTCTTTAAGAGTAATCAGATAAATTTTATCACCATCACAGAGGGAACACAGAGCCACATTTTCAGTCTCACTGACTCTTACAGAGTCTCCAGAAAAGTCATATTTGCTTGCACGCTGCACAGTGCGCTTTGCCACACAGCGTACTCTGCGCACTGAAGAGGGTAAAGTTTCCATTCTGGGGAGACAAAAAAAAAGAAAAATGAATGGAGTTTTACCTAATTCCATATTTTAATTGAATTATATATGTAATGTATGTATTTCTGTATTTTATAATAGTTGTTTTTACGTTACACAAACAATATCTTGTGTAATTTGTTTATGAATTCTAAGTTATTGAAATTCATCCACTTCATGTTTTACCACTGTATTTGAGATTCTGGGTGAAATATCCAGATGGGAACTGAAGTGTTGTTGATGATTGTTTATAATGAAGTAAAAGAAAATGTGTCATGTTATTATTTTATGTCTGATTCAGTCCATTTTTGTCCCTTTGTATCTAAACTATTTAATAATGCAAAAAGTAACTTGAAGCTTTTATTATTGTAGTGTCAGCTTGTTAACCCTTTAGCTAGCTGCTGACCTGCTCAGTCTGCTCTAACAAGTGCAACATACATCCAGTTACAGACAGAATGAAGTGAAAACCAGTTTAAATGATTTTAGCAGCAACCGGTGATGTTTAACTGGCAATTCTTCATCTGGATTCATTTTATGGGCACATTGAGAATTATTGAAGCATATCAGTAGAAAAATGAAAATGTATTTATGTAAAATGTCATTTTATTTCTGTGTTTGCATTTAATTTAATTTCCAAATGCAAATTCAAATTCAGTACTTCAATTTTTTATTTTATTTTTTACCCGATTTTCTCCCCAATTTAGTCGTTTCCAATTCCACCCTCTAGTTAGGACTCCCCCAATCACACAATACTACCAACGCTAGGAGGGTGAAGGCTAACACAGGCTTCCTCCGAGACCTGTGAAACCAGCCCACCGCTTCTTTTCGAACTGCCGCTCACGCAACGTCATTGGACAGCTGAACGCGCTCGGAGGAAAGCGCCAACCGCCAGATCTGTTACGTCAGCTAACAGACGCCTGCACTGACTAGCATTGCATTAAGTGATGGGGGGAGAAGGAGGGGCCATCCTACCCACCCGGAGAGAGCGAGGCCAATTGTGCTCTCTTGGACTCCTGGCTACGGATGGCTGTAGCATCACCAGGGATTTAACTCGCGATCTCCTGATTACAGGACCAATGCTTGGACGGTTGCGCCACTCGGGAGCCCCCCCAGTACTTCAATTTTAATTGGCTAATCAGTATACCAGTATTGACATTTTATTTATATAAGGATTTAATCACTTTTATATAAATGAACATGCATTTCCAGAACTGCACGGTTTTGTGTAAAGTGATTATGAAATAAAGGTGTGAATATGATTGTTAAAATGTATTTTATCTTATATGCATTTGCACTCTGTAATAAATCATGTGAATCTACATTATTAAAGGACACCAAGCTGGAAAGACGGCAAAATTCTAATGTAAAAAGGGAAACAGCCCCTCTCCTCTCTGCAATTACACATTCTCACCTACTGCACTCATTCTGTGCTAAAATGACTCTGAAACACATTCAGTGATGCTGCAGTGAAGGTCAGTCACACATATAACTGACCGAACACACTACTGCTAGTTTGGCACTATTAGCTAGCTAGCAAAGTGTATAGGACATTAAGCATAACTGTGCAGAAGAATTACCAGATGGACATCACTGGTCATTGGTTTAACAGCTTAACTAATTGTTCACAGTGGTGGTGATAGGAACCAGACATCTGAAGAGTTTAATGCCTCTAAAAGCTCTCTCACAGAAAATCATTACATGAAATGATAAAAATTACTCTGTCTGGTATCTGAGACATTGCTTCATGACAGTTTTGACTTAAATGGTTCTGCTATTTCCACTATTTTCCATCATCAACATTCCATATAAACACTCTAAAGACTCGTGTAGGTTCACTGGTGGTTTTGATATTAAATAAAATGTCTATATTTGTGTTGTAGTCATGGTGACCTAAGGTTCCTATCACCACCACTGTAAAGAAATCTGAGTCTGTGTAATCAACCATTTCACACCAAACCACTCTGAATGACTGTTTACATCTTAACCAATGAATTATGCAGACATTTTGAAAAATCTGTGAAATTCCTTATTAAATTTAAGTCTTTACAAAATAAGTTACTTTCATACAAGTTACACACTTGAAATGTCAGTTTAAACTGGACAATGATATTAAATGCGGGTATAGCGTGAAACTAACATCCCTCTAGCCTAGCGCCCCTTAGCCCTCATTTGGTAGAAACATCTGACTGAAGGTTAATTTTTCTTGACTGAATAAAACTCGAAGAACGCAAAGAATGTTTGCGCAGAGATCTGGAAAGATTATAGGCGTATGGTCTCAAAGTCTCCACTGACAAGTGTCATTTCTGCCAGACTAAAGTAAACTATGTGGGATGCATTTTAATTTACAAAGCTTTCCCCCTCTTAAGCTCTTTTGACTTCCTCACCTGCAGAACACACCTGCCCCTCCCTCACACTGAGAACAGGATGCCCACAAGGCTGCGTCCTTTACCCATGCTCTACACACTGTACACTGATGACTGCATCGCAAATACAGCTCCAACACCATCATCAAGTGTGGTGATGACAACAACACCAACGTCGATGTGGGACAAAATAGGGAGGGATCAAATCTCCTAACAGAGTGGTGCACCGCCAACAACCTCCCCCTCAATATTAGCAAAACTAATAAACTGAGCTATTAAACTGAGCTGTTAAACTGATTACACCAGTAACACCAACCAGAACATGAATAACACACTACGGACTGTTACTAATCCTCCCAGTTTACTCAGCATATCTACACTCTGAGCTCCACTAGCTCTTGGGACTCACTAAACTTGAACAATTAAACTGTACTCTGTCTGCTTGAACATTAAGCTGGGTGTGATTCAATTTAATATCTTGAGATACTTTATACTCATACCTTGTTCAGAGATACATTTTAATATGTTATATACGATTATATATGATTATATATGATTTTCTTAGTCTTTTATTGGTTTTGTTTAATGTCAGAGGCTTGTGCTACATAAACAAAAAGAAATCTGTTTTCTTCTTCTTACAACAAAGAAGAGCTGATATTTATTTTCTACAAGAAACAAACAGCTGTGCTTCAGATTTTAATTTATGGAAGAATCAGTGGGGCAATGAAATGTGGCTTTGCAATGGTACAAACTGGTCAGCATGGGTTGCTATTCTCAGGGGGGCATACAGGGGTAAGGTAGTTTATATTGAAGATGATAACAAAGGTAGGTGGTAACTACTTGTGGTTACTACTACTGATTAATTGATTGATTAATACTACTATTGATTAATAGTCATGGAGCAAAGTACATATTTTCAAACTTAGTACTCTTTGATGAAATAGAAGAACAGGTGTGTACCTATTCACCAAATATATAAATGCCAGAATTATACTTGGGCATGAGATCTTGTGTGTTTGCCTAGCAACAACCTGGGACACCGTAGCAATGACCTGGCAACACCTTAGTAACCACCAACAACAGTCTACAACTATTTTAATAATTCAATGTTATTAGCTGGCTTCTCCAGCCAACTCAAAGTCCATTCAAGAATGTTCCCTTTTAAATTATTAGTGGTAACTATTGTTATTCAATGTATGTTATTAGTGATTGCACATTGCTTTGATTTTTCTGCCAGATTTCTTTTCTGCTAACTCATCACGCAGTTTTCAGTATATTGACACCGTTCATTCATTTAGCATGTTTGGGCTGATCAGGAATGGTGTGGTTATATACAGCCTTTTGATCTGACGTACGGTTTTCATACAGTCTTTGTTAAATTATGTTTTTTTTCCCATAGAAATGAATTGGGGGTAAAAAAAAAAAACTTCTTGTACTTCTGCTCGACCAAAAAATTTGTTTCACTTTCTTAGGGCAGGGTATTATTACCTTTACACGAAACAGGATGTACTCACTCAGGTCACACCCCCAAGCTCTAATCCACGGCCCTAATGTCACGCATTCCTCTGGCTCTGACACACTCAGACTCCATCTCCCAGAGGGTTCACCTGACCCCAGTGACTCCTGACCTTCCCTCGCGCTACAATCAGCGCTCTCATTCACCGGAATACTAATTCTGTTCACCTGTCTTGTGCGTCATATGATCTTCGTGGTTTAGTTTATAAGCCTGAGCTTAAGGATAGTCAAGTTGCAAGGTATTGCATCTTTACAGATCTACTAGTTCTATTGTTTGTAATACTCCAGTTTATGACCTTTTTGCCTGTTCTCTCGACTCAGCTTTTTTGTCTGACCCTTTGCGATTGTTTGCCTGTTGTTATGTTTGTATTTTTGTACTGGCTGTCTTTTCTGGATGACCCATGCTTGTTTTTTGACCACGAACCTGGATTTCAATCCTGTCAGTAAAGCCTCTTTTTCTCTTTCATCTGAATCTTTCTGGCACGTTACAGAATAACTCGCCAGCTATGCAGACGCTGAACCTGGAGACTTTTGAAAAAGCTTTGGCTGAACAAGGACAATTGCTTGGCCGACATCCACAAGTGTTATCAGGAGTTACACACTCGTTCGAGTCACTAGCTCACCAACAGTCTGAACAGCAAGCTCAACTGGTACAACTAGTAGTGAGTGTGAAAGGGCTCACTAGTCAGCTTCAGAATTTGAGCACTGCAGAAACAGAAGCAAGCTCCGCCAGCCCATCCGCTCAAGCTGAAGCCCCACATGCTGTGTTCCCCGTGAGTAAGCCCGATAAATTTGAGGGGAACCCTGATTAGTGTCGTGGGTTTTTTACTCTAATGCTCTGTATGTTTGAGAACTCCCCAGTAAGCTCTGATCAAGCTAAGATATCCTTAATTGTTTCTCGTTTAACTGACAGATCCTTAGAATGTGCCATGGCCAGGTGGCCTCACATACATCGCCTCTCTTACACCAGTTTATTAAAGAATTCATAACTGTTTTCTATCATCCATATGAAGGCAAGATCAGTGGGGAGTTGCTTCGAAAATACGCCAGAGCAATTTCTTGGTAGTAGAGTATTCCCTAGGGTTCCGTACACTAGCTGCTAGCCAGTGGAGTGAAGGAGCAT